GGGCTTTATTTTCACTTCTCTCTCTTCAACCTGGCACATATGGGAAATTACATATTACTCAGACTGGTCACAATGGCAGGGCAGTCTTTGCTGCCACTTACACTGGACTCAGAGAGGAAAGGATGGGTGAACAGACAACTTGCAACCGAAAATGGAGCTGATGCACTAACTAGGACATGCTGTCTTCCCTTTCCCCTCTTAGGAACTCTGAAGGCAAAAGAATTCAAACAACGTTGCATGCAGGTGAAGCTGACACAGACTGATGTCCGTGGGAGCGAGGACTGTCTCTACCTGAACATCTGGGTCCCTCAAGGGAGAAGACAGGGTATGAGCTTGGCAGGGACCTGGATGGACTTTCCCACCTGCCTTGTGTGCAGGGATGTCCGTGGAAGCAAGGACTGTCTCTACGTGAACATCTGGGTCCCTCAAGGGTTAAAAGAGGGTATGAGCTTGGCAGGGACTTGGGATGGACTTTCCCATCTGCCTTGTGTGCACAGCTTGTGCCGGAGCCTCTCTCAGCAGTTCTGTTCCATAGTGGGCAGGTGCTGAGCAGGGATTTTCAGGGGCAAGGGTGGGAACTGTCTCAGACAATGTCCTACCTCACCTTCACCCCACTGGGAGGGTCAGCCTCTTGAGCAGAGCATCAAGAGCAAATGCTCCTGCAGAGCATCAAGTCAGCTCCTGCCCAGGGCAGGTGGAGCAATGCTCAAGGAGGGGGTGAGGGATGGAGGGGCAGCACCTCCCAGCTCAGTGGGGGCTCACTCTGCCCCTGTTCTTCTCCTCCCAGTCTCCACCAAGCTGCCTGTGATGGTTTATATCTACGGAGGTGCCTTTCTCCTTGGAGGAAGCCAGGGAGCCAATTTTCTGGACAACTACCTGTACGATGGGGAGGAGATCGCCGTGCGGGGCAACGTCATCGTGGTGACCATCAACTACCGCGTGGGGCCGCTGGGCTTCCTGAGCACCGGGGACGCAAACCTGCCAGGTAGCCCGGCCGATCCCGCCCTGGGGCTCTGTCCCGAGCGCTCAGCTTGACAGCTCGGCTGTGCCCCTGCTCACTGCCGGCTGATCTCTGTCCCTCAGGGAACTACGGGCTCAAGGACCAGCACATGGCCATTGCCTGGGTGAAGAGGAACATCAAGGCCTTTGGGGGTGACCCGGACAACATCACCATCTTTGGCGAGTCGGCCGGTGCCGCCAGTGTCTCCCTGCAGGTGAATGCTCCTCCTTGGTTCTGATCAGAGCCCCTGCCCTGTCAGTGGGAGAGAGAGACCCCTTGGCACTCACCTGCTTTCCTCCCCACCTGCTGCCTCATTACCGTCCTGCCCTGGCCAGCACAGCAATGCTCAGCCTCAGTGCTCTGTAGCTGCTCCTCCTTCTTCAGCTTCAGCAGTCCCACCAGTGCAGCCACGTGTCCTGTGAAGAGACAGCCTTTACCTTCCATGTCCCACTCCTCTGCTCCTCTTCTCAACATCTCACTTTTTACTTTAACTCCTGAGACTCTTGAACACCTCATAACCTGGAAGCTTCCCTGGGACTGGTGCAAGACCCACAAGACCATTCACCTGTTTTGTCAGGCCATGGTCTCCTCAAGAGTTTGTACCCAAACCCCTCTTGTTTGTGCTTTGCCCCCCAGACACTGTCCCCAAAGAACAAGGGCCTGTTCAAGAGAGCCATCAGCCAGAGCGGTGTTGGGCTCTGCAGCTGGGCCATCCAGAGGGACCCGCTCCTCTGGGCCAAAAAGGTAACGTGCGAAGTCATGCCTACAAAGCTATAAAAAGAAAAAAACCAATTTCCTAGAGGAGAGCCTGGCTAGGATGGGATTGGGCAGGAGCTGTGCCCAACAGTGCTGTGGAAAGCTGCTGCTTTGAGATTAAGAACAACCCACAGTTCTGCCTCTGTAAAAATAACCCCTGCCTTTGGGAGCTAATGCTAGGATGTTTCTCTCTTCTGCCACAGCTTGGAGAAAAGGTGGGCTGCTCCACAGACAACACCACCGTCTTGGCCAACTGCCTGCGCCACGCTGATCCCAAGGAGTTGACCCTGTCCTACCACCTGCAGCTCACCCACCTGCCCAGTAAGCACCCCAGCCCATGATGTGGTCCCTCAACCATCCTGAGCTCCCCAAGCTCTTGGCAGGACTCTGGAGTAACTGCCAGGAGTGTTGAGGTGGTGCTTGTGCCCTTCAGTAAAGGGACATTAATGAGAGCTCTTGCAGTCACCTTTCTGTGGGCAGATGCACACTGCACCTGATGAACACTGCCCACCGTGCAATGGCAGCAGTGGCAGAGGGATTATCCAATGGCACTGCCTTGGCCTCACAACAACTGTTTGGGCTTCCTGTTCTGTGAAAGCAGCAAGAGCAATCCCAAAAAACAGCTTGTAAACAAACAAACGAACAAAAAAGATCATACCCTTGGAGGGTTTTCTGCCAGCCAGGGCAGAGCTCCTGTCAGTGCAAATGGATGTGGTTTTGAATCAATTTTTTAAAACTTTCTTTCTTCAGTGGTGCCATGAGAGTCTTTTATGGTACCAGTGTGTGATCAACAGAGGTTGGGCCAAAGTTAAATTAACCCATTACTCGCCCAGCTGCGTCCCATTTTAGAAATCTGGAACACAAACTCCATTTTTACATGTTCCTATGAAGACTCTCATTTCACCATAAAATGCACAAGAACCCCTTCCTTCTTTGCTTCTCTTATCAACAGATGTTCTACCAGCTCTGGGATTAAATGTGGAAAGGTATTGCACACCGACAGAGGAGTTTTCTGTTGGAGATAAATTTCAAAGCTATTGTTTGTATCTGCCCATTCCCCTCTCTCTCTGACAAACACAACAAGGAGTGAAGATGACAAAGAGCTGCTGCCATGAGCCTGCAGAGATAGGAGGAGGAAGGAAACTTTGAGCTTTCTGATAGAGGGGGCAATGAAATGGAGACAGAAATTCTGGACTA